CACAGTTACTCTTCTTTACTTCTCATCATTGAACCACACTGATAACGCCTTCACTGCGTGTACTCTTTCTTGAAGGCAATGCTAAATGAAATCCAACAACATCGTATCGCCTGCTCATTTCACTGTGTATCAAATTCCCCTATCAATCCTCAAAGTGCCTTATGCGCTCTAGGTTTGTTAAGTTTAAATGAATGTGTTATTGGTGGTCTCGTAAAATATTTCAGTTAAAAGTAAAGCCTGTTCGTCTGTATGACGAACAAATCGGCCAGTAAAATCGGATAAAAGTGGGCTTCACGCGGGAGGAATGGAATTTGGTACGTTAAAGGGGAAAGCCAGAGGCAGTATCGCTTCTGAAAAGTGGATAGGAGAGGGACACAGGGTTAACGTGATGGTGTTTCAAAGCCCCCCATCGGTTTGTGGAATAAAGGAGTCTGTTTTGATGCTACTATCAAAAAAATTGCCCAAATCTTTGACATCAACCAGGCTCCCCGTGCTTTAGAGTCTTCAACGGGATACATTCGGGTACATCCAATTCATCTTTCCATCGGCTTAGAGACGGATGAAAACACTCAATGGCGTACCATTCACATGGCGATAATATAAAACAACCAGTAAGACAGAGAGCTACAAGGTAAATCTGGAAAGGGAGCGTTGGCGCCTAATAAAATTGTAACTTTTGAGTGCGGATTTGCGATAGATATGGTGCCATATGCTACATGTTCTTAGCTATTTAAGATAATGCATAATTCTTCAAATTGCGCAGCGTTTCGCTTTGCAGACACCACTGGCGATAAAAAATGGCATTTTCAATGTGTCTTCCATGACTTTGCAGACATTTGAGAATTACATAAAACGCAACATTTAAATGTACCTAAGCGTGTAAGCATTTATTTAAACATTATCAAAAAAAGAGTCAAATTCCTACACGTTGATGTGCCATTGCTGCTGCCTGTACCTCTCCACGCCTGCTTGAGTGTGCACGTCTACAAATGTGTAGTTGTGTGTTCACATGAATCCGGACAGCATGGATACTTTCTACCTTTTTTCTCAGCTACAAGTCGGACTGTATCAAGACAGACTCACACGGATGATACCGCATAGATTTGTTCATCTCGAACAGCCCGTGTCTGCTCCAACAGACGTTCTCCGCCATTCTAACTCACCGTTCCCGATATCCACCAAATTGTATGAGCAGATAATTTAATGGAGCTAGTCGGGAATGCCCAGCGGCAGCCTGTAGGAACCAGCAACTATCGAGGCTGGGGATGGATTCGAGGGAGGCACATAAAACGATTTCAATAACCTAACAGCCTCCAAGGACGCCGAGTTAATGATCAACAGGCGACCCAACAATTTGAGGCGGAACTCCTCAGTTCCGCGGCCCGCATGTGGGGCTCGACTCGAGCATGACCCCATCCAATGGTCAGCATATTCCGTCTATTACTGTAGGGAGTGAGCACAGCAGAGTGCGGCTGCAAAACTGTAGACCCTACGGGCAGAATGCGGCCGCAAGAAAGGGGTCAGGGCTATGGGGGTACAGTAGAAGAGAGCCCGCTAAAACGAGTGGGCAACAGCCTGAATGATGTCTTTATGCCAGACTGAATACCCTTCGCTTCTCATCAGATAAGTGGAAACTACATTTTGTGATATAAATATACACTGTAACTTTCTCTCTTTTTCGCTCGCTTTCACACACATACTCATATATATATATATATATATATATATGTGTGTGTGTGTGTGTGTGTGTGTATATGTGTGCAAACAAAAACGTATGTAGCAGCATAAATACCCAGAAGCCTGAGATTCCGCGGCCCGATTAACACAAAGCCCTTCTTAGTTCCTTTGGCCAGACCGATTCGCCCAATCGCTCAGTCAACATTGCGTGGCAGACATAAATGGACTCTTATCGCTACCGGGTTCGGAGTGGAGGAGCTACGTTCAACTGGCTCATCAGAAACACCCCGTGATAGGCAATAAAACATTCATATAGCTGGGTAATTGGGACTTAGAAACCTAAGTTTCCCTTGGGTTGAAATGTATATATATTAAGGAGAATAAAAGTAATATTCCCTGTAACTAGGTTTACTGAATAATTAGTCGCCTTAAGTTGATTGAGGTGATTCAAGGTATGGTAACGGAATAAGTACAGATATTGTTGTGGAGACTTTCGTTTTGTATGAAAGTAAATGATGAAGAGATTCGTAAGTCGATCTCACCCGAAGATGAAGGCTTATTTCTATTCTACTGCAGCCATTTCGTTCTAATAACCCGTTCAGATTGGCACAGTTCAAGAGACATACTTCCTCGTTTGAGACGAAAAAATGCTAAACTTTCGTCAGTAGGTGGGTTGACGTCGTTGTCTCAACTTGGTCTTGTTGTCCGGGTGACTTAGTAGAACTCACCTAGTCCGAAGTCCGCTGCCAAAGTGGTTTTCATTATTCCCAACATCAGACAGTGGACTTGGTACATTCTCAGACGTTTCGCCGGCATCATAGTCGGCATCATCAGGGAGTGGTGCCATCTTCTCTCTTCCAGACAAGTGAAGTCTGGAAGTATGACTTAGTGTTAACCTGAAACTTTTCCAGGAGTGAGTTCCAGCTCTGACGATGTCCATCATATGATGGACGAAAGCTGGGCGCGCTTTCACCCGAAACGAACGAGAATGCCTCGTGGACTGCGCAAACATGAGCGTCGTATCAAAGTCAAATGGCATCAGCTGTCATCTTATGGGGTGATCAACCTATACATATTTTCATCATGCACTTTCATATGAAATGAAGGTCTCCACAACAGAGTTATATCAGGAGATTAATCGAAACCCACTTCTTCTTCTTAATGTGCATATAAATTCTGCTTAACGCTACTCACACAGAATACAGGCTGCATCGCAGAGTGAAACGGTGAATGTATGTTTCGTCTGAAAAGGTTTTACTAATTGGCTTCAACTGGAGCCGAATGAAGATTTCCTTTGAATATGATTGTAGATTTGTGAGAATAAGTCATCGACACACCTTGATACAGCTCCATTGATCTTTTGCCCGTACCACTCTGACAACATTCGGGGTCGCGGGATGGTGTGGGAAGGTCTTATTTGCAAATATTTACAGTGACATTTCCAAGGAAATCATTCTTTTTCGCGGTTCGGTTATGCCTATTTACTAATCCTTTCCCCTCGCCTTTATAGACCAACTGAAAAGTATGTAGAAAAATATAGCAGAATCAAAGGTATAACTGTTTTAGTGGAGGATGCAGCTGTTCAGTCACAACTGCATCCGTTTCACATTTCATCTGCAGCCACTTCACATCCCATCCTCAGGCAATTAAGCTAACTTTTCAGCATACATTTAGGCAAACATAGGATATAAAGTGTATTCATCATATTTCGTTTCCTACAATGGTATGAGTATACCTTGCATTTTCATTGAATTTCACATAGCTTTGCTTACCCAAATATATTCTAATCATGGCTGGACTGGACTGAATTTTCTACCATGCCTGAACTGGTCTCATCAGCACTTCCAGCGGGACTCGAACAACGACAATGCCACGAATAATCTTGACAAGTGAACTACTACGATCCCAGATCATATGTACAATTCAAGGAACGTCGGGCGTTTTCCCATATTACATTCTGTGGTGGAATTGTCGATAAAGCATAGCCATAGCAATCGACTACTTTATTTTTAT